CAATTAAAATAGCATGTCAATATATCTAAAGGACAATTACTCCGCACACCACCACACTTTTAATTACAGTGGACAGATGTGTCAACTTACTAAAACAGGATAAAATATATCCAATTTCAAGAGTTTATATATACGATTGTATTGTAAAGGAATTAGTAGATAATACAGTTCTATATTATTTCGATTCACTTTATTTCTCTAATTACAATACAACACAATAATTATTAATCTTACACCCAACGCTTATCTTGCCGCCTTTTTCTGCCAGCTGCTCTTCTCTTGTCCCGTGTTGTACAACGTACGTTTACTACCAGTGTTGTACTACGTCCGTTTACTACAGTTGTGTTAAGTATTTTCCTAGCGCCTTTAGTGTTCGCAACGAGGCGAATATAGCTATGTTGCAACCAGGCAACTTAAATAAAGTAATCACTGAGACTCAATGTATTTGTATTTGTAATTGTAATCTGATAATTGTAATCTAAATCATTTTTAATTTAATAACTTTTAAATGATTTTATACGATTACTAATTAGATTATATATGATTACTAATAAAAATCCCATCTACTCTAAGGTGGAACGCCAGATACCAAGACAGCATGGAAAACAGAGAAACTCTTGAATATACAGTTACAGAACGTTTATGCGTCCTTATACGTTCATTAATGACGAAAACGAAAAAAAACGCAGATTGTGCTTACTACTTAAAAGTATTATCATTTAAAAAATTAAAGGAGAAAGAAAAGTATCATAAAACTCCTACAAAAAGAATGACATTCTCAAAAAAAACAACGCTTTTGCCAACTTTGAACAGTTTTAATAAGGACTTACTTAAATACATTGTAATTGATGATAAAACTTTGATATATAGCTGCCATACCGAAACAGAAGCTTTAAGACTGGAATAGTTTGTTAGAAATTCAAGATGATTGACTATAGAATCAATAAGGAGTGCTATCTACAAATTTCACGACATTGCTTTAGGCAATCTAGCAAAAAAGACTTATGGACTTTGCTTATATAGTAGTTTGTGGCAAAACATATCACTATAATTCCAAAACTATCCTGTTTTTCGCAAATGTTGTCCTGCAGCTATTTTTCTCTCAACACATGGCAGAGACCAAACATAGAGCAGACCTAAATAACGTGACAATAATAGATAGGCATAAATAGCAAAGAGGATAGTAACAACATCAGCATTAGTTACCTACTACTAGTACAGTAGACATAATACTGATACCATAATCTGATAATGGATAATTAAATTTGCATTTAATGAAGAATAGAAATTTGTTAAACAACAATCAATATATATATTTTTTTTTTGATTGAATGATTTTGGTTACAAATAAAATATTTTTTTTATGCAAACCATGATCATTACCGTTTGAATAAATATCAAAATTCGACTTCTGGTATTTATCAATCCCTGTGTTGATGACATCTTATCGTCCCATTTATCATAATTTTGCATTTTAACTCCACTGTAGTGATAAGCTACTAAAATGTTACTTGGGAGATAATTTTGTGACATGCCAACTTTTAAACAATATCTTATTAATGCATCCCCATAAGCAGAAAAATCTCTACATCTGATTGCTCCTACTTCGAATGTATACGTCTTTACTTCTGGAGCAGAACAATTGAAATTGAGAATATCTATTACTCTTATATTATTGCAGGCTTGTATTTCTCCATCATTTAATGATATAAAGTAATGATTTACTGCTCCTTTAAATTGGTATACAGCATATGATTTGTATATTTCAGCGTATTTATCATGATAATCGTCTAATATTTCTTTTGGATATAACGTCGTGCATTTTCGTTCCACCACTACCGTAGATAAGTATTCACAATTCCTTGGTAATGGTTCAAAGCAAACTACACTTAATGCGAACTGAATGAGCAAAGTAGAAACTTCTAAATATGTGAACAAAATCATTAAATTTTAGATTTATGACATATATAGAGCTATAGAAATAAATTAAAACTCAAATTACAGATATAAAAATAAATTATTTAAAATAACTTTTATATTAGTTTGCTGAGTTAATATAAAAATAAGCACATTTCATATGTGGGGGACCAAAGTATCTTTTCGAACACAATAAAAACTAACTAATTTTTAGAATTGATTTGTGCTTTGGCGTAACCCTGGCTTTGAGATGCGAAACCTATATTCATTCACAATTAATTGTATCCTTGATCACATAAACCAAATAGAAAAAAAACCAAAGAAAAATATTCACACCATAGAAAAGTATTTTCATTGACGTGTAAGCTGGTGCATTATCCTGCAAAAACAAAATTTTTTTCTTTGTCAAATGTGGTCGTTTTTTCTTGATTTCCTTTTTCAATCGATCCGATAATATCCCATGCAATAGTAGTCTGATGTTATTGTTTTTCCTTTTTCCAAATAGTCTATGAAAATTATTCCACTTAAATCTCAAAATACGGAAGCCAAAAGATTTTCAGGCGATTGTTGAGTTCGTGGTCGTTCGGGATACTATCCCGATCTCTACCCATTCTCTGGTTTGTTGTTTTTCCTCAGATGTGAAGTAATAGATCCATGTTTCATCAATTGTCAATACTAGACTCTACTCGCTCATAGCCAGCTAGATTGTACATAACCATTTTCAAAAAATATTTTGAATGAGGAAATCGTTGTCATTTTTAATCAATTGTGAACAAAAGCGACACACATTCATATAATATGTTTATCATCGCTGCTATCTCACGTAATTTAATTTTTGGATCATCTAACACAATGTCGTAGATTTTTTCAATGTTTTTTTCAGTAGTGACCTCTTTTGAACGACCAGGCTTCCTCAACAACTCATATCAAATAAGTCATTTGAAAGTGTTTTTATTCGTTGTAATTCATTTGTTTTCATTTCAAACAGCAGATTGCCGCAACTGAAGGCAATGCGAATACCGCGTTGGATAAGAATGCAACCAGGAGGTAAAACACACGACACAAACCAGGCTTTGTATCTTGAGCACGTACCATACACTCTATTTTCCGACTCAAACATTGTTTTATTTTGTGGTTACGCAAAAATACATCACAATTAAAACAGTATGTTGTGAATCGAATTAGCTGAAGATGTCACTTGTAAGGCATTTATAAACGCATACATCCGTTTCGTAAACCGAAGTGGTCCATGTAACCACTTATACAGTGACAACATAATTACATTTATTGGCGCAGATTGCTTAATGGCTGACTTTCCGAGTTGACTTAATAAATATACTCAACAGCAATTGGCTAATCGAGGCACAAAATGGCATTTTCTACCACCTAGCGCAACATATCAAGGCGGTCTGTGTGAAGCTGTTGTCAAGTCAGCAAAGAAGCACTTGTTACACATTGTCGATACTCATTCAATTTATTATGGTCAATTGCGTACTCTACTTGTGCATGTCGAGGCTTGCTTGAATTCACGACTACTCATACCATTGCATGGCAGCTTTGACGATAAAATGGCTTTATACGCTATTTCTTAATCGAAAGATCTCTATTGGCAGTACCAGATGATCCTATTAGTAAGGTACCCAGCAACAAATTGTCATCCTGGTGACAATTAAGGCAAATGCAGCAGCATTTTTTTCGAAAATGGTACGATAAATAACTTTCAACTTTGCAAACACATTCAAAATGGCATCAGAATTGTGATAACATTAATGTAGGCGATATCGTGGTAATCCGACACGAGAATGTACCAGCAACACAATGACAAGTCGGCAGGGTGATCAAACTTCGCCCAGGCGAAGATGGGTTGGTACGAATAGTCACAGTCAAGCATTCAACTGGCGAATACATGCGACCTATTCAGAAGATATTTTCTTTTCTTTTGAAGTAAATAAACATACAATTTTTGCGTATATGAAAATAATTGTTTTGGCTTTTTCAAACAGTATTTTTTGATATTAATATTATCAAAGTCCGCTGTGGGTTTTATATTGCGCTGAAGGCGTTATATTTGTTTTTATATCGCTAATACCCTCCCACCAGTTTGATTTTAGGGAAAATCATGGAACTATTGAGCATTCCATGATTTCCTACACCACAAGCAGATAATATAACATACTTAGGTATACACCTAGACAGACGACTAACTTGGCACAAACATATTGATGCCAAAAAAATTCAGATGAAATTCTAAACATCAGAGTTGCATTGGCTCATTAATAAAAGATCTTCCCTGTGCCTAGAGTATAAAGTATCCACCAAGATCTACAAATTCCCCTAGTTAAAACTGAATTTGACAATAAAGAAAAAAATACAATAAAAGGCTGACAGAACATGTTCATCTCCTAGCAAGAAATCTCGCACATCTTTCCACTACTTCCCATCTAAAAAGAGCTGACCGTCCAGCCATTAATTAATATTCAATAGCTTGAAGTAAAAACCGCACCTTTCTTTTAAGTAATCTGATAAAGTTGAACCACTTTCTTAAGAAACCACCTAACATTCATTCCAATGAAATTTAACCCTTGGTTCTAAGTGATGTTCGTGATATGAGGTTTACTTATTTTATTTTTTTCATGTAATATATAGTTAAAATAAAAATTGTAATATTATGTAATTAGTGATAAGATTTTAAAATTTATTATTAGTCTCATTGTAAAAGAGAAGATACAATAAATAAATGTATAAGTATTTAAAAAAAAATTTTTTTTCTTCATATTCCTCTTCCCAGTAGATAACGAATCGATTCGTCATCGAAGACGGCTTGAAGATGCCGTCTTATATTGATACATGCCTAAAGACCAATCGGTCCAAATCTATAACGGGCTTTGAAGACATTTTCGAACAAATTAGCCAAATGTCTTCAAAAACATTTTGCGCACCTGTTCCAAAGACTGGATGCGTCCATCCACTATACGGCCTTGTATAGCGGACACATTCGATTAAAAGTTGTGCGCTCTTAGCGGAGCTACTCATTTAATTTTTTACCCTTTTCTGGTTTTTTTTCTTTTTTTGTACTCTTTTAATTACAAATTCTGTTTGTCTTTAAATAACTAAAAAGAAATTTGTACGTAATTATTTTTTGTTATTTATTTTTTATACATCTTTTATAATGTATAGATTAATATAATACAAATATATTTCGGCAAATTGTTTTGCAAATTTGCTTAATCATGCGGACGCAGTATAAAAGACTATCTTGAATACAATGTCTTCGAAGACGAACTTTCCAACTGGGTCAATACCGTTTTATTTTTTTATCCTTCATTGCAATTCATATCGTTTTTGTATAGTGTCCTTTTATACACTTAAAATGTATGAATTCTTCTCATTGCGTGTCTATTCGTTCAAAAGGTATAAAGCAATTTATTTATTTCGTTCTTGCTAGCTCCTTTTGCATTCCTCAATTTTGGAGATCAAATGTAATGGGGAGAATTTTATGCATTTTATGGAACTTTTTCCCTAAAGATAGTAGCCATTTTTGTTTTTTAAGGAGAGGTTAATGTTTGTCGTATACAATAGGTCTGTTCTACGAGCTACTTGTAGTAAAACTCAAGTAAAACACAAGTAAAATTCCAACTAAGAGCATAACACATATAAAGTGCCAAATTACGCTCTTTACATAAATTTTCATGGAACAGCTTTATGTAAAATTTGGTAAGAATACCAGAACTACGCAAATAAACAATACAAAAATTTAAATTCAGAGCAAAACAGCTGATTCACACATCACACAAATATTACTTAAAATAAAATGTTCAAGTGAAATCTGTGCAGCATTTTTGAATTTCGACAGGGATGTTACGCTCTCCCAGATGCTCTCATTTACTCGAAAATTTGCTGGTGAAACGCACTTGTGTATACACTTGTTACTCAAAGTTATAACGAGTAGCTCGTGGACCAGACCAAATATGACAGACTTCGTTCCAGTCTTTGTTAAATTTAAATACTTTGGATTTAAGATGCTTTGTCATGATTTGAAATTCACAAAAATTTACAAAAATGGGACGTAATTAATGAAAAATGTCGGTGGCGATGAAATTTTACATATGATATGCATCAGAGAACTGCAATGAGTACTCAACATTCGAATCATTAATTGTGATTTATTTATATACATTCTGACTCTCTTTTTCATATATTCGACTCCACCTGATTCATACAAACAGCTGACAGCACTTATAATGATTTATACTCTGCTCATATGATCATATGAATCATTTATGAGTATTACGTCACATTCGTAAAAAATTTATTTATTGCGCCCATATTCGTTTAGTACGAAAAACTCTGTGACAAAAAAGTAAGCCTTTAATAACTAATTGGATTTTAAGAATTTATTATATAAGAGCAACTAATTATGAGTTGCAATTTAGTTTTTTAATGTAATTATTGCTTAAACAAATCATAGAAAATCATAACCATGTATGAAAGGGTAAAGGTATTCCGAAAATTATTTTCCACGAAATTGCTTATCAATAATATAATACATCCATACCTCGGTTAACGGCCTTAACTCGTTTCAAAAAAGTTGGTCGTAAAGCGAAATCCCGTTAAACGAAACAAGTATAAATGTATGGAAAATAATTAAACTGCTTCCAAAAAAAAATAAACCTATATATAACGACTTCAAAAATAAGAAAAAAATTTATATTTTATCACTAAATCTTTTTTTCCCTATTTATTTTTAAGATCTTCATGATTTGGGATATTAATTCAACATTATTATCT